TGGTTCTCGTCTCGCGGTCTTCTCTTTTGCTCATGAAGTTTGGCCATAGCTTGATGTAGAGCTTGTTGGGACTTGTAGGTTTGCGCTTGTGGAGCATCTTCATGTTCATGATGTCGTTGTCGTGCTTGAGCTCGTCGTAGATGTCATTCATCGTCGTCGTGCACATGTTGCTTGGAGGTGACTTGCCCTTCATGACGCTGTGGATCACGAATGTGATGGTGGTCGCCATGAAGATGTGGACATGGACGAATTGCGCTTGTGTCGTGTGGGCGCTCCGAAGATGATCGACTTGCTCGCTGTCACCTTGAGGATGACGAAGGGGAAGAGCGGTTGACCAACAAGGTCCGAATCTCCTCCATCCGTGCATCCCTCTCCTCCTTTTGTGTGGAAAACTTGTTGTCGAAGTAGTCTCTTGTATGTGCTTCGGAGTGTCGTATGTCGATGGCGAGGTTTTCGATGCGCTCTCGCAATTTTGAGTGTGTGTCTTGCATTTGCCGTTGTAGATCGAAGATGGACGTTTTGGTGATGTAGTTCTTCGCGCCGTCGTTGTTGTCGAAGACCGGAGATGAAATTCCTTGCCTATCCATCACAAGACTCGAGCAAATGTGAGTGGGAGAAAGAGAAGAACTAGACCAATGTACCTTATCCAATGTTGAAGATGAATCAATGATCACTCAATAATGTAACAAGGAAACAATACAATTGGTATCGGATCTTGTCGATTCTCACACCTACACAAGTAAAGCTTTTGGTGGAGCTTGGTGAGGATAGTGGCACAAATATTTGATGCAAAATGTTAGCAAGAGTCAATAATATTGAAAGAGATTCACAAATTCGCAAGTAAAACAAGTAGACCAATAGCAATGGGTGACACATAGAAACACACACACAGATAGATAAATGGGGTCGTGCAACCAAGGAATGAGCACAAAATGTGGAATCCACGGAAAATGCTCGTGTTGCACAACTCAAGAGAGACACTAGCACAATTGCTCAGTACGCGGATATAACACTTGTGCACAACCTATAAGATGCCAAATGTATCAACTTTCTATCCCAAGTATGGTATGTATGTATGTACGATGTTCTGGTGGTATGATCCAAGATGATCGGATATGACAATCTTATATGTAGTGTGTTAGGATGCTATGGCTATTGCTTACAAGCTTCTTTGCTCTCTTTTTCTTTGCTTAAAAGCTTATTTTTTAATGTTATAGGCAATATGCGAAATGCACCAACGAAGATAGCAATTGTGTATATGTGGGAACAATCTTGTGACACAAGGGATGGTACTATGATACCACCAATATGATATGGTATGTAGCAATGGAAGGTGTAGATTGATGATCACTAATGTGCATAAGTAACGTTGCCGGCAATACTCAATGGATAGTCTCGATAGGTATGACGCAAAATGGGCTAGGGGTTAACAATGCAATGGCAAGGAGAATACAATGAAGGGATACCACGATACCAGGATGATATAGAGGTTACCGTCTTGCTTACGGTTAGGATGTCAAAATGGTGAAGTGGTCGATGTCGAATCCTTGGCGAAGTTGAGCAGCGGTGTTGTCGATGTCGAACATTCCTAGTTAGCCAAAACACCCTAGAAAACGAAAAAACCGCGAACTCAAAATCTCAAAGGCAAATGTCAAATGGTGGTAGCGAAAAGCGGTGGTGGTTTGCACTCGGGAATGCGGAAGTAGAATGATGGGCTATGCGAGTCGAAGTTGAGGTCGCCGTCCCTAAGTAGTTGAAACACCTTAGGAGACACAAGCCACAACTCAAACAAAATTGGGTTAAATTGGGGTGGTGTTAATGTATGGTTGGCAAAATTATGCGGAAGTGGTCGTGGTGGTTGATGACGAAGTAACCGTCCCTAAGTAGCCGAAACACCTTAGGAGACTCAAATTACTACTCAAGCAACCACTAATGCTATGGGGAATTAAATGGGTTAGGTTGCGGAAGTCGGTGGTGGTTATGCGGATGATGTGGTGAAGGCCCTAGGCAAATATGCCAAAGTTCCAAATTTAATGGAGTCAAATGATGGTGGTAGTATTTTTGCAGGTTGGGGTATGTCAATAGCTTCAAAACGAGCTAAAGAACGTCAAAATCCGAGTTCGGATGAATTAGTTATGGGCGAAATAAAAATCAGCCGAAGTTGATATCTACAGGTGTCGGACGTCCGAGAAATGTCGGATGTCCGGTGGACGGACGTTCGAAAGAGCTCGGAAATCCGAGATTTCAACTCTGGACGGGGGAGGGGGTCGGATTTCCGGTAAGTACCGGTCGTCCGGTGGTTCCGGGGGCTACGGACATCCGAGAAAGCGTCGGTCGTCCGGTGGGTAGGGTTCAACGCGGAATTTCAGATCCGGGAAGCGATTTTGGGCGGAAATTGGGGATTTGGGGGGCAAAATTGAGGAGATTTCGTGGATGGAAAGTGGGGAAACTTGTGGAGATGCCAGATCCATTCGAAACACAACGAATCCATGGATAAAAATCGACAAAACATCAAACTAACAACATCACAAAAAAAATTGGGGCTATTTTTGGTGGGGATTTTCGAAATTTAGGACGAAATCAAACAAAACTAGGCTAGAAAAAGAGGGGCGGGGACTCCAAATTCGTGATCAACGTGGCTCATGATACCAAGATGATGTAGGATAGTAACCCTAAGGCCGATCTTTCACAAGTAGAGGGGATCCTACGAAGAACACGAAGAACACAAGGGGAAATACGAGGGAAAATCACGAGGGAAAACACTCAAATCCACAAGAACGATCACACATGTGCTAGATCCATGAACACAAAGAGATACACGATCCAAAGTCAACAAAGGACGATACAAACGGTAACTAGTTCATCTCCGTGAGGGGGTCTTGAGTCCGTGAGGGATCTTCCCATGAGGGGTCTTGAATCCAAGCGTGGATCTTCTCCGTAGAGGCCGCGGTCTCTCGATGGAGTAGAACCACATGGATGAGCAAAGCTCTATCTCTAAAATGAGCTAAACCTATGCTAACCCTAGAATGGTGGAGGTGTAGGAGTATATATATAGTCTAGGGCCATGAAGGGGTAAGTGAGGGCGAAGGGGTACATGGGCTCGGCCCGATACACTGTGTGCAGAAAGGTGGTGTCGGATGTCCGACATGCGTCGGTCGTCCGGTCGCTCGCGGGGGTCCGGACGTCAGGAGGGCGTCAGACTTCCGACGTTTCGGCTCTGGTCGATGAACGCCGGATATCCGGACGGGGTCGGTCGTCCGATTGCTGATGAGGGCGGTCATCCAGGCACTGTAGGATGCCTCGGCTGGAGTCGTTCTGGCCGACGGAATCTCCAGGCGTCATATGTCCGAAGGTCGTCCGACGTCCGAGAGCTGTAGCTTCCTGGCAGCTCTTCCTCTTGTTCCTCGCACTTGGTGTCCTCGCCGTCTTCTCCAATGCTCCTAGCTGTTCCATGGTCTTCCTCTTGGTTCCTGGTCATGCATAACACATACATTTGCGGTAGTAGCCATGTCTCACATGTAGAAAGTGACGGTTCGGAGAGAAGCGGTTCACCTTGTGTCCAATGGCGAATGGTCGAGGTCTCATCGTATGTGCTCTTGGGGCTTGGGGAGTAGTCGCAGTATACATGGGGATGATCGTAGGATGCTCCACATCACCAAATATTGGCGCAAATGGCGATGTTGTAACAGGAAGGAGAGTATGTACCTCGGGCGACCTTGGTGGTGCCCCTGATGGTGCCCCTGATGGTGTAGAAGGAGATAGCTTTCTCGATCTTCGAGGAAGACTGCACCCCGAATCCGATCCATCTGCCATTGACCAGAAAACTAGCTCTCGGGCCCTGGGCTCCCCCTCTCCCTCGAGCGCGTGGTTGTGCAGAGGTTGCTGGATGTGGATGCATCTTCCACCAGAGAGTTCATCCCGGCGCGCCGGGTGGCTCGCGGTGGATCTCCTTGACAACCGCCGTCAGCTCCTCCTCCTAGCCGCGTCTCATCTGCCTGGGGCGCTGCATCCGAGTTAGACGACGAGAGAGAGGAGAGGATTCGGCGTCGCTCATGCTCGATGACGGTTGGCTTCCGTGCCCTCTTTTCGGGCCGCATGATGCGCCCACGAGTGAGGGCGAGTGGAGGCGGCCAGTGGGGAGAAGGAGACTATCGAGGAAGGCGACGCAAGGGCGTGCGGACATCGCCGTCGGCAGAAGGGGTGGAGGAGGATGGGCGCATTTGGGTGGAGCAAGCCGCAAATCCTACCTCTCCCTTAGAAGGAGCAGCGACGCAGAGTATCAGCGGCCGCGATGCTTACCGGCGTGCAACGACCCGAGGTGAGGCGAGGAAGAGAGAGGAGAGCAGGGGTTGAGAAGGGGAGGTGGCGGCGACACTGACGTGAGGGAGAGAGAAAAGTGAGAGAAACCTTAGCCGTCTCACCCGATTGGGGACGGGGCAACTAATCCCGATAAGCCACTTGGCACCTGGTCAGATGAAATGTCCGAACTGCCCTTGGCGGCTAACGGAAATTACAGGCGGTGGTACGCCTCCCGCGCCCATAAGAACCAGCATTGGTTACGCTCGCCTCCAGTGTCGCTGACAACTACGACCCACCCTGACTTGACCCCGCCTGTCATGGAGAGTGAGGGTGGCAGAACGGAGGCAAAAAACGCCAACACTATTCATTGTAGCAGTGTCGGGCTCGATCCGACGACTAGGATAAGTTCAGTTGAAGATTCGACGGACATGATTCGTTTGGGAATTGGATCCGACGGCTGAGAGGGTACATGGCATGAGAAGGCTCCATTTATGCCCAAACTCTAACAATGGGTAGTACAAGGATTGTTTTGTAAATGTAGCACTAGCACCACATCTCGTCTCTTCGTTCCTCACGCAGTGGCCCACGAGTCCTTGGTGCAGCAGGTGCACAGGATACGTTCTCCCCCCTCTCCGGTCCGCAGCGCAGGGCCGCCGATCTCCTCGTCTTTCAGGAAACGGTGCTGCCTCCGGCCCCACGGGATGGCCTCCGGAACCTCGGCAGGTCGCGAGCCGTACGACGAGGAGGCCGCGAGCCGCCGCCCGCTCGAGCTCGGCATCCGCGACTCCGCCCCCGCTTCCGCCTCCGACCACCGGTCTGGTGAGCTCCCTATTCTCTCCTACTTAGGAAGGTTCGCCTATATGCAAGGATCCGGTGCGGCAATGCATCGAGGGGTGTTGGAATTGGGGAAACCCGAATGGGGCGTAGTTTCTTGTTGCGTGGTAGAAGCGGGGATCAAGTTGAATTGTGATGAGCAAGGGCTAACATAAAGCGTAATTGACTGTATTAGCAAATTCGACTTCTCAGTGTTAGCATTGTTCGTGCTCGTGCGCTCCCGTGCATTAGTTGGTGAAAATGTGCAATGCAGCTGCAATAGTTAAATTACAGTTTTTTTTTTGAGAAACCATGATTTGTAGATTACACCATGGTTTGGGTACACTCGTCGAGCATTACATTCCTGACACTCCTAGGGACGTCAGCGATTAGGTGGAAATCACCATCGCTCCTAGCCTTGGCAGCAATCCCATGGGCGAGCTTATTCCTCGTTCTGCTGACCACGTTGATGCTGACAGTGGAGAATGTCTTCAGCTGATCCTTAATGTCAGAGACCAGAGGGAAGCATGCAGACCTGCAGGTCCAGTCCGCCCTCAGCTCTCGTCCAATGGCCATGCAGTCTGTTTCTAGGATCAGATACCCATTGTACAGCTTACCACTTCAGATAGTCCCATCAGTATTGCGGCTGCCTCAGATTCCTCTACCGATGCGCAACGGGGCAGGCGTCGGCCAACAGAGATGAAAACGAGGCCCCGGTGGTCATGCGCTACTGCGCCACCCCAAGTGTCGCCTGACTCCTGCAAGTAGGCAGCATCTGTGTTAACTTTAACCAGTCCTATTGAGGGCGCCATCCACTGGTTCGTTGCTTGGGGTATCTGCATGTATGGCTTTGGGCAGTGGAGAGACCATGCCTTTTTGCTGTCAGCTCGATCCGATGCATGCAAGGTTTCTACCAGGTCAGACTCAAACCTGAGCAAGAATTGGACAGCTCCAGAGACAGTGTCCTTGCCATCTCCATGGATCACATTATTCCGTAGGTGCCATGATTGCCACAGAATCAACATGACTCTACTTCTGCACTGCTCATTTAGCGAGGAGAGGAGCACCTGGAACCAATAGTACCGGTCATTCTGAATGCATGTTCTTTGGGAATTTCCCAATGTGCCCTCATGGCCTCCCTAAGTGCCTTACTTCTGGTGCACGCAATAACATCATGGTACTCACTCTCGCTTTCAACTCCGCAAATATCACACACATCTTCCTTCACTATTGTTCTTCTAAAAGTGTTGTGTTTCGTGGCAAGAGATTGTGTAGCGACCCTCCATCCAAAGATCTTGATTTTTTCTGGTATGTTCGCTTTCCAAATTACATCCCATATGCTCCTATCACCTGGATCTCTTGCTGAGCTAGAGGCCGTTGCCGTTCCATTTCTCTTTAATGAATCAGCAAGCTTGTATGCGCTTTTGACAGTGAAGACACCAGTTTTTTCGTAATGCCAGGCCACACAGTCATCCACCGCATTGGAGGGTATTCTTATTTTGCAGATCTCATCCGCATCAAACTTATGAAAAATCTGGTTTATTAGTTCCGTATTCCATTCCTTGCTGTTTGGCCTCATCAATTGGTTAACCCACCTTAGCCTTGATCTCCTAGTGAAAATGGCCACTTTTAATCCTTCTTTCCTTGGGATCCATTGATCCCGTTGAATTTGGATCTTCCTTCCATTCCCTATGTGCCAGATCAAACCTTTTTTTAGCAGTTCTAAACCGAATTCGATCCCTCTCCAAGCTGGGGAAGCATCCGAAGAAAATACCGTATCAAGCAAGTTTCCGTTTGGATAGTATTTTGATTTGAGCAATCTAGCACAAAGACTCAGGTTTCTGGATTAATCGCCAACCTTGTCTAGCAAGTAGAGCTTGGTTAAACAAATGCATATCTCGAAAACCGATGCTTCCATTCCTCTTTGATTTTGTCATGTTTTCCCAAGACATCCAATGAACCTTCCTGTGGTTATCCTTGTCACCCCACCAAAAGTCCCTGATGACTTTCTCATAACTCTCGCAGAAGCTGTGGTTTAATTTGAAAACTCCCATGACATATGTTGGTAAGCCTTGTACAATCGATTTGACGTGTACTTCCTTAGCCGCTTGAGACATGAATCTTTCGTTCCAATCATTGCACCTTTTCCCAAATCTGTCTATGATTGGTTGGAACTTCTCATTCTTCATCCGTCCCTCCGGTGTCGGTAGACCTGAGGCCCCGTTCGGTCTGCAGGAAAATCAAAGGAAATCTACAGGTTTGAAAACCTGTAGTTTTGTCTACCTCTGACCCGTTCGTTTCATAAGAAATTGGTACAGAAATTTGAAGGAAACCTTGCCTTGGAGGGCTCATTCCAGAGGATTTCACAAATCCAGTAGAACCTCATTTTTGGGCGGATGCCCGAGGCAAGGCACCACGGCTCCAAATAAAAAATTAAACTATACTAGTCATGCACGAGGAAAGAGACAAACTCACAGAGTACATGCGGATAGAAAAATAACATAGAATCTGCCACTGTGTACACAATCTTCGTCAGTAACAAAGTTTTTTACACCTATGCTTCAAACACCCCGCATGCTTCTCTTCCTCTCCTCTATAACCCTATGGTCTGGTACTGTACAATCAATCATAATCCTTCGCAGTTTTCTGGTCCAGTGTTTTCTATACCCGCAAACCGAACGCAACCTAAATATTTACTTTCAAAAGTGGAGGAAACCACCCCAAGCACAGTCATGATTTCCTCCTTGACATGGACTGGTCTGGCCTCGCTGAACAGAGGAGAGCATTTGTTCTGGCTCAACAATTGACCCGTACATCTCTGAAAGGTGCTCCCGTACTCTTGTGGCTTGATCAACCGAGGCTTTAAAAAACAGGAGGCTATCATCAGCGAATAGGAGGTTGGAGATCCCTGGACTTCCCCGAGCAATCATTATCGGGGTTATGGACCCCATCACATTTTCTCTGTTTAGGAGTGTAGCAAGGCCATCAGCTATGAACAAGAATAAATAGGGACTTAGTGGATCTCCTTGTCGTAGCCCTCTGGTTGGCGCAAAGGCTTGCAATAATTCACCATTGCATCTCACGGAAAACTTGACCGAGGTCACACATTTCATCACCCAGTTGGTCCACTTTTGATTAAATCCTAGCTTCCGGAGTGCACCCTCCAGGAAGCCCCAATCAACTCTATCGTAGGCTTTAGCAAGATCCAGTTTATAGGCACAATGATTGTCTCTCGAGTTTTAGCTGTGCTGGATTTTGTGGAAGCATTCAAATGCAATAATCCCATTGTCTGTTATCATCCTTCCATGGACGAAAGCACTTTGAGTTTCAGAAATAAGGTCATCAAGAAAAGGTCGGAGACGATTAACTAACACCTTTGATATAACCTTATAAATGACATCGCAGAGGCTGATGGGCCTGAAGTCCTTGATGCTTAGTGGATCGTTACCTTTGGGAATCAGCACAATGGTTGTTTCATTACAACTTTTTTTTAGAGAAAAGGCATCAGTCGAGCCCGAGATGGGGCTCGAGCCTAGCCCGGCTTTGAATTAACAAAGCCATCAACTGGCCAGGATTACACGCATACGCCCGCAGGCAAAAGAAAGAACAACAAGGCGGTAAGATACATAGATGATGTTCTAAAAAAAGATACATAGATGATGGACAGCACAAAACTAAGCCTCAAGCACTATGGGGCTGAAGATGGTCATAATAGAGCGAGGCCGAAGACGCCGAGGTCCCCCTCCAAGAATGCTGCACCGGGGACAAGATCACATAGGCTCGAAGAAGAGGAGGGCCGACACCAGCGGGGCATGCCGTCGCCAAGCACTTACGGGTCCCGGCACGGCACATCCAGTACACGATCTTCGAAGGAGGCCACTACCTCCTCGCCTGGATCGAAGGCGCCGCATCGTCGCAAGATGGGATGGATGCTGCCGGAAGAAGACCACATAGGGAGGGTCGGCGCATCCCCAACGAGACGCCGGGGCTCTCGTTGAGCAGAACATCGCCGCTGCAAGCATCCAACACCAGAGGGGGAAGTTCCAAGCTAGGACAAGAGGGCCACACCGCCGCCGCCGCCACCCACCACCCCCAGGCGCCACCCAACCCCAATGCTCCCAAAGCGGCGCCTTCAAGAAGGGAACGGCACCGAGAGCGCCGCCGCCGCCCAACAAAGTTAGGGCTTTCGCCCGGGAGACCGAGGAGGAGGGGAAGTGAGGGGATCAGTCCATACCGACGCCTCCAAGGAGGGGAACGGCGCCCTCGGGCATCGCCGTCGACGCGGCCGGCCAGGGATTTCGCCCGAACTAAATCCCCGCCACCAACAGCACCACCTGTCCGGAACCGGTGACCAGGGAAGCACGACCCGACCAGGCAGGCTCGCACGCCGAACAGAGGAGGGGAGGCGCCAGATCTCGCGCACCGATCGCCGCAGAAGCCGCCACCGACCGCCCTCACCACCGGGATCCCGCCGCCCGTGCGGCCAGGACACCGGATCCACCATCCGCACAGCCACTCGCCGCAGAGCAGGCGGTGCCTCTCCATAGGAGCCGCTGCTCCAGATCCAGAGCTCCCCGCGCGGAAGTAGGGCAGCCAGAAGCCCCGCCGTCACCCTCCTTGGCCCTGGGCTTGCCCGGCGGCTGCCTCAGGCGGCGGCGAGGGAGGGTGGGGGGAGGAGGGAGCCCGGCGACGCGCCTAGGGTTCGCCCCCCGAGTCGCCCGAGCGGGGGTGGGGGGGGGGGTTGTGTTTTTGTCCTCCTACCCCCATCCCATTAAATTACAGCTAGGTAAGCCTTCGGGTAGCTGTCTTGTTTTTCTTGCCAATAGTGCCTAAGGGCAACTCCGACGCGGATCACCTATTGGCAGTGGTGGATCCAGGAATTGAACCTGGGTAGCTGTCTTGTTTTTCTTGCCAATAGTGCCTAAGGGCAACTCCGACGCGGATCACCTATTGGCAGTGGTGGATCCAGGAATTGAACCTAGCCGGGGCGAAACATTTGAGGCCTACATTTCGGAAGGTATAAATGCAAGTCCACTCAACAAAACTCATGAAATTGAACTACTAAAAGCATGATGAAATAACATAAAAAGGTCTTAAAAACTACCGGCATAGACTCTTGCCGCTTGACATGCTCACTTGATGCCACAATTCGACTCCATAATACCAAGCGACACCTACAACATGTGACCCACTTTTTAATTACAGCAGCAACAACAACAACAAAGCCTTTAGTCTCAAACAAGTTGGGGTAATCTAGAGCTGAAACTCGTAAGATCTCGCAACCAAGCAAGCTTCCACACTCCTGTCCATGGCTAGTTCTTTGGTGATATTTGGTGATATTGCAGTCCTTCAGATCTCTCTTTATGGACTCCTCCCATGTCAAGTTCGGTCTACCCCGACGTCTCTTGACATTATCAGCACGCTTTAGCCGTCTGCTATGCATTGGAGCTTCTGGAGGCCTGTGCTGAATATGCCCAAATCATTTTAGACGATGTTGGACAAGCTTCTCTTCAATCACCGATTACCCCAACTCTATCTCGTACGTCATCATTCTGGACCCGGTCCTTCCTTGTGTGGCCACACACATCCATCTCAACATGCCCATCTCCGCCACACCTAACCGTTGAACATGTCACCTTTTAGTCGGGCAACACTCAGCACCAAACAACATTGCGGGTTGAATCGCCGTCCTATAGAACCTGCCTTTTAGCTTTTGTGGCACTCTCTTGTCATAGAGAACTCCAGAAGCTTGGCACCACTTCATCCATCCGGCTTTGATTCGATGGTTCACCTTAGACAGTGCTAGTACTACACTATCTCCATAGACCTGTTCAAGGAAAGGTTCCCACGTATATAGCATTTTTGCAAGTAGAAATCGTACGAACATAGTATTACCATCCTCCACACCCAAGTCTCATCTTTCTCAAGGTTGTAGACCATATTGTTCTGTATTTGAAGTTACAACATCAAAGGATGAAGTAGAATGGATATTAGGTGACCTTATGTCCGCTTGTGTGTCCAAATGGTCCATCTTCTCACAAATTTTCTCACAAATTTTCTGCGTAAAACACAAATAACAGACATACACCTATGCTCAATCCTCTCTTGTGCCACATAGGCTTATAGGTTTGTTTTGTGTTCTCTACTTTGTGCCACATTTAGTTGTACAACTTGCAGGGATGTACCTAGAAATTCGGTGCTCAGTGCAAACATCTAATATGTAAAAAAGAAGGTTAAACGTGATGTTGTAACAGGCCCCATGTATTAAAAATGCAGAAAAAATTCAGTAATCATAGCAGTAGTGTCATTTTTTCATGTTTTGAAGGGAACACTTGAATGGAAGAATCAGTAGAAAAACATCTAATATGTAAAGCCCTCGAAGGAGAATCGAGAGAGGAGACGAGGACTAAATTTGCAGCGATTTAATTGCGGTGATTTGCTGCTAAGCACTGGAAAAAGAGCGTGGGCTGTTTATCCGCCTGTCATTTGTGAGTTTCCTTGTGAGGGTGTGTGAGAAAAAAATTTAGAGGGAAGGAAGACGAAGACAGATGGGAGAGATGTGAGTTGGGCCGTGAGTTTGGAGTTGTTCCCAAAGAGTATGCAATAATGATGGAATTGGTAAACCAAATCCATGGTTTAACAACAAACTGTGTTAACCGATCATTAGTCTCCAATCGTTAGTGGAATTCCTATTATAGGTAGAAATGCTTCTGTCGCTGGCTTGGACTCCTTTTCTCTTAATTTTTAACCGATCATTAGTCTCCAGTCCTTAGATTAGTAATAATTAGTACAGTTAAAAAATCTGGGGCACTCAAAGGTTTTGGGACCCTGTGCAACTTCTCCAGTTGCACCTGTCTATATACGGCCCTGACAACTTGCATATTGGATCTGTTACAACACGACCCCTTTCAACCTTTCTTCCGCATTCTCTCTTTCCCCACATTTTCCCCATGATATTTCCGTTACGTCAACCAAAATGTTCTGCAAAATTGGACGACATTAATACAACATGAAGAATTTACCTGCTTGCTGGCATACTCATTCCCGTCATGGTACCTACTGTAGGAAATATTGTGCCTAGATATCAGGTGGGATGTACTAAAGCTGATACAAGTAAGAGATACTTGGAGGGATGGCATAAGAAGCAATCTAGTACAGATGATGTACGGAAGAGCAAGTCAGGATACTTCACGGCATTCGGGGTGGACCTATCTCCTGATAATATGGCAGTTGCCATTGTATATTTTGTGCAAGGGGTCTTAGGCCTTGCACGACTTGCTGTGAGCTTTTACTTAAAAGACGATCTTCACCTTGATCCAGCTGAGGTACCTGGTCTTTTTCCCTTCGTTGTCTTTGTGGTCCTGATATTTAGAGATTTGGTCTTGTTACATGCATGTGATAATTTACCTTGTAAGCAATAGATGTTAATAAGTGACTAATATGGTTTATGTTATATAGACTGCAGTTATATCTGGCTTCTCATCCTTGCCCTGGTTGATCAAGCCAATCTATGGCTTTATCAGGTCTCGTGAAAGTTCCCCATACATTCCTTTCTGCTGTATGTATATGTGCATTTGGTGGCACTGACTCCGCTGCTCTTGCCTTCCAGTGATTCTATTCCACTATATGGGTATCGAAGAAGATCATATCTTATTCTGTCAGGATTTCTTGGAACACTTTCATGGAGTTTGATGGCTACAGTAGTGAACAGTAAATATGGTGCAGGATTCTCTATTCTTCTTGGATCACTTTCTGTTGCCTTCTCAGATGTTGTAAGTATGAGCTAAGTATTCTGCAAGAAAGTTATCTTTTCAAACTTTTCAGATCGAGTGTTAATTTCGAGTGACGTATTTTATTTGTACAGTCTTTAGCATTTATTTAAGTGCTGATGCTCTTGTGTCATTGGGATCACCTTCCATCATACAGAAAGGCAGACACTAATAACATCAACTTGCTAGAAATAACGATTGGTTCACATCAAGCACTTTCCTCTAGAGTTCCAAATTTATATACGGAGTACATGCCTATGTGCAGACCTTATCTTACAACATGTTGGGGCTGCCTTCTTGAAGCTATTAAAAATAATTAAAGTTATTGATAGGCATCAACAATCCTTAATGTAGGAACAAAATTATCTACCAGAGAGGGGGGTGATATTATTACAAATTCTTCGAAAACACGAAATATTTTGGTAAATAGAAGAATAATTGGATATCAGCAAAGCAGTTCAGAGGCAATCTAGTAGAAGAACTAAATAAACTAGAGGACATGCAACAGAGTTACAAGTAGGGATGAAAATGGAGTGGAAACTAAACGGAGAGGAAATATGGAAACGGAAACGAAAATTTGCAAAACGGAAGTGGAAATGGAATTTTTTATGCGGAAACGGAAACAAAAACGGAATGGTGTTTTCCGGTGGAACATGCGTAGAAACGGAACCTTCCGTTTCCGTGAATATGGAATTTCTGTTTGGACTATAGACCTATGGCTGCTTTGTAGCCCAACCACCAAACAATACACAATAACACAATGAGTAGAATGGATCATTTGAGGCCCAAATTCTACTACCAGACATGTACTCAGCTTGAGAACCCTATACGCAATTGTCCAGTACTACTACAATACTACACTAAGTTGCTAACATAATGATACTATTTTGTAGACATGTTAACAATTCATTAAATTTGTTTGCTTTTATGTGTATTTCTCTATGATTCAAGGGGTTTTTAAGTTCCGGTCAATGCCCACTTGTGTTTTCATGTCTGTTTTGTATTCGTTCGGTGTCCGTTTCCGGTAGTATCTGTTTCCTTATTCATTTCCGGGGTTTCTGTATTCGTTTCTGCTTCTGCAAAAATATATGAAAACAAATGTGGTAGCACTCAGTTACGTCCGTTTCCGCTCCGCTTTCATCCCTAGTCACAAGGTAATCAAAACAATAGAAAACATGCTATCACAGAAACAATATACAAACAGGCTAAGATGCGAGTAAATCTAACAGTCTAAGCACAGACAAGGTTTTCACAGCGTGCACCACTTAGTGAAAATCTAAGCAGTGGAAGAGAATCGAAGTACTGAAAAGTCTTCGCAACAATCACAGAGAAATGAAAGGGGAAATTGTTCGGAACTCAGAGGAATACAATAAGTAAAGGGTTGCAAGGAAATAGAACCAGTTGGTTGACGCAGACACAGAGATTTGTTTACCCCAGTTCAAACTGCTGCCACAGATCTACATCTGGGTTGGAGAGGCTGAGCCATAGCTCTGAAGACATATAAGTCTTCACATTATTCTCCTCAGCCGACCATCCGCAGCCATCCGATGCGGAGTGGACGCGATCCAGGCTTCATAACTCCGCGAAGCGGTACGAGCATCCATGGAGCGTCAGATCGCAGATGGACGGCTCTGGGGACTTCGCGCCAATCTATTTGAATTCAAACTTAACTGAATCTCGTTTCAGGTGTTCTGCTTGTCAGAAGATCGTTGCTTGGGTCCTGACAGAAGGCTGCGTACAATAGACCCAAAGTGCTCGGACCCTTCTCCGGTTGTTATTAACCAATGCAAAAGACAAGCTCTTTATTCCCTACTTCCTCATCAGTCAGTTCCAAATTTTCCTAGATTGTTACCGAGGGATATTGGCTAGTTCTAAGTTAACTTAAATTGTTCTAATTGATGGTTGCCCGACATGTATTGGATCACGGTATCCGTGCGCTTTTGTTGTAGCTAATTTGCTGATCGATGATGTGAGACTGTAATGCCATATTTTCTTGAGGATATTGCGATTACTGAACATTTATCTATCTCCAGTTGAATTTTGCAATGCGATTGACAGATTGTATACATATTTCCTGTGTTATTTGAAGTTGCCAAACTATTTTAGGCCACACCAGTCTCTAAATTGAGAACATCTAGCCAATGCTGCCGTTGTGCATTGAAAATAATCAAATATATCTAAATAAAGATTATCTTTTAAATAAAATCAACACCTCATCTCTTATCACATCTTAGAGTTGTTCCTGACATAAATTAGGACAATATTACTATTATTTAAATATATTGTTGCTTCCTAGATTTGTTTCAACAGACACCTGTGAAAATAATGCAGGTCGTAGATTCTATGGTAGTTGAGAGAGCTCGTGGCGAATCACAAAGTACATCTGGATCTCTCCAGTCTCTATGTTGGGGGTCCTCGGCATTTGGTGGAATTGTGAGCGCATATTTCAGTGGTTCGCTTGTGGATGCATATGGAGTAAGGTTCGTCACATAGCTTCCTGTAACCTACTGAAGCTCCACATGTTCTCTGGTGCAGTACACTGATGAAAATATTTCTGTAAACACAGATTTGTCTTTGGTATTACGGCATTTTTACCATTGATGACATCTGCTGTTGCAGTTCTTGTAAATGAACATCGCCTGACTCCTGGAGAACATGCTATGTCAGTCTCTGGTTCAGGATTCATTGAGAGCTCAATACAGCACATCAAGCAGCTATGGACTTCTGTAAAGCAACCTAACATTTTCTTGCCGACCTTGTTTATATTCCTCTGGCAAGCAACACCACACTCAGAGTCAGCCATGTTTTTCTTCATGTATGTATCAGGTTGCCACAATTTCACACAAGTCTGCAATTACAGTATCTCTGATGGCGTACATGGTTATTGTTTACTGTTGTGTGGGAGCTAGTTTTAAATGCAGTGCAGTAGTTCTATGAAATATAAATTACAACTGGTTACTGGATCCTTCCTCTAGCTCATCCTTAATTGTATCAATTTGATTTCATAGGTTTGACGTTTGAGGTACAACAAAACATCAACTAGAGAAATTGCCACAAGATATTGATGATCGTAGTTAAGCTCTACATTGTTATATCCAGGTTGCGTTGTAGCAGCTGGTTAGCGTATGCATAACTTTCCATTATGTATTTCAAAATGTATGATTACTGTTTAACTTTGTAATGTTTCTTAGTTGATTGAACTTTCATGCTCCCTTATTGTTGATCTCAGCACAAATAAGCTTGGATTCACTCCAGAGTTTCTAGGACGTGTAAAACTCGTTACTTCCATTGCATCCTTGCTCGGTGTTGGAATTTATAACTACTTTCTGAAGGCAGTTCATCTGAGGAAAATATTTCTTGTGACAACCATCATAGGTTCAGCCCTTGGAATGACACAGGTGTTCATTTTGCTTTTATTTCAGTGCAGCGGCAGTTATTTTGCATCCTTCCAAGTTAAAACCTTAGTGTGTTGTATGCCCTCCAGGTTCTTCTTGTCACTGGGCTTAATAGGCAGTTTGGGATCAGTGATGAGTGGTTCTCCATTGGAGATTCGTTAATCATCACGGTCCTTGGCCAGGTATGTAACACGACTACTTTTGCTGATTGATGGCAAACTCTTATTTATTTTGTATTACTACATTTACTGTGGGACGTGAACAATTTAGTTCATTGCATAATAATAGTGACATGAAGTCTAGTTGCTCTCCATATGCCTGAAAATAAGCCTGGCCAATTTGAACTTTCACAAGTTGTAATTCTCAGCATTACAACCACTCTGGGGAAAGTATTCTCCTGTCCCAATGTAGTTACGTCATATCATTACTTAAGTTTTGATGTCAACTTATCTGGCTTTGAACTGTTCTTACAAGGCTTCCTTGTGCCTTGAGTTGTTCTCCTTGCATGTAACTGTATATAACCTGAATTATGTTGCAGGCTGCATTTATGCCAGTTTTGGTGTTAGCTGCAAAATTGTGCCCTCCAGGAATGGAGGCGACTTTGTTTGCCACTTTGATGTCCATTTCTAATGCTGGAAGTGTTACTGGTGGTCTTGTCGGTGCTGGTCTAACAAAGATTTTTGGAGTCACTAGGGAAAGCTTCGGAAATCTACCTCTGTTGATTATTGTATGCAATCTCAGTTCCTTGCTGCCCTTGCCTCTTCTAGGTCTCCTTCCAGACGAAACAGGAGATTCAGATAATGAAGAAACAAAACACAGCTGACTGAGGTTGTCTTTTAATGCGTTCAAATTCTCAAGTATAGTATGGCTTAGCCCCATTTCAACTGAGGTAATAGACATGGCTGTTCCCCAGTACTAGTTCAGCAAATCAGCAGGGAAATATGATATACTACAGTTTTCACTGCTGTCATGAAAACACCAAGATCAATCATCTTGATTTGGTTATCAGAAAATGGAACCCGATGCTATGGAGCAGAGGTACTTCTCTTTCTTTTATGTAGCCAACATGTAACAAGACAATGTGATCTCTATGTAACTAATGTAACCCCATGAAAAGGTTAAATAGTAACCTAACTCCCTTACCGATTTTGGATATTTTACCCTGTGGGAGCTGTACTACGGAGAGTATTAGATTATGAAGAAACAAACACATCTCCGTACCGTGGATTGTGATACAATACCAGGTCTTCTTTTCTGTACTCTTATAAAATACTCAGTTGGTGATGATGGTGTGTCTGTCATCCGTCATTTCTGACCATTAGAGCTTGCATCTAATGATGTAAGTTGTGGCCTTTTTCAACAATATTTCACTTCTCTGCTCAAATTTCTCTACTCCTATAAAAGACTCAGTTGGTGATGATGGCGTGTCTGCTATTTGTCATTTCTAACCACTAGTTCTGTATCTAACGACTGTGATGTAAGTTGTGGCCTTTTTGCAACAATATTCCACTTCCCTGCTTCAATTTGCAGAAAACCCTTTAGTATCTTGAAACCAACCACATTCCTCCCTTACCTCATCAAAACAGCCCAAGAAATATATTTTGAGTGAAATATAAGATATTTTTAGTGATATGTATATCAAAACTAGACTGTTTTCTTTCAGATCTGTGAATATGTATTATTCTACTTTGGATCCATTGCAACGCATGGACACATTGCCAGTAACATTATGTTTTCATCTGGATGCATCCCGTTAAGGGCCAGTTCTTTTGCTGGCTATTTTGGGCTTCTAGAATAAGTTGCTCCCTACCCAGCTTATTCTGAAAGCTCAACCAAAATATATTTTTAGAAGCCTATTAGTCTGGACTTAATTAGTAGGCTTCTAAAAAATAAATTTGGTTGGACTTCTAGAATAAGTTGGGTAGGGGGCAACTTATTCTAGCTTATTCTAGAAGCCAGCAAAAGAACTGACCCTAAGGTGAGGACAAATAGGAATTGCAAGCACATATGGAGTATTAAAGAGAAATAACACAAATTTGTATTACAGTTGTAGTTTCTGTGGAGTTTGCGACAGGACATATACTCTTTGTAAGCGCAGACGTTTGTCCCTGGTGTGCCTTGAGGTCATCTTTGAAACATGATTCTAGTTTCTCCACACATGAAATCACAAATAATAAAGCTGTGGTTCCAATATCCTGCAGAAAGGTATGTTCCCCATTAGTGGACTTTGGAAGACGACCTCAAAGCTTTGGTGCAGCGTATTGGTAGCATGATTTCTTTCGAGTCTTGTCTAGGGCACATCTAGACGTGCTCTTATTATTGCACTTCTAAGTGACTCAATCAAACTAGAAAAAAAAGAATAATGAAAATGCTTGCACGGATCTTCTCGTAGAATCAATGGTATATGACTTAGACGTGCAAAATACTTACGACACATCTAGATGTGCTATAGCAAAACTGACACATCTAGATGTGCTATAGCAAAACTGTTTTCCTTTTCTCTCTACAACAACTAAGCCTTGACTTCTTGGACGGCAAGAGGCCGGACAGGCAAAGACCCCCATCAGGTCCCATTGCCTAGAGAATGAAACACGCAAGCACTCGTCCCTCGATTGAAAGCACTCTAGCCGACCAGACTGGCTGATTTATGTGTTTTGACCTTTTGCCCTAAGTTTAGCCGGATTTGACCCCCACCCGAAAGTATTTTGGGATCTGACTTTGTTGGCTACTGCCAGACAGTCCGACGGTAGGGTTGGATAGGCTATCGTCGCAAAGTTTGGCGGTAGACTTGACGACAGCCCACAGACGGCCGTTTGCGGCCGCCTACGTGGCAAAGGACCCTACCACCAGGGGCCTTGGCGGTAGGGTGCTCGATCCTACAGCCAAGCACCCTGTCGGTAGGGCTCTGTAGTGGATAAGGTGTTGGTGGGGCCTGCACCCACCCATTCATCCCCAATCCCTTCTTCCTCCCGAGCCCATCCTCTCCCCCACTCCCCCCCATCAAAGCATCCACTAGATCTCTCTCCATTGCTAGAGATTTGTCCGGTGGATCCGAAGCATTTGCATCACCCAAGGTACCTCTCCCACTCCCCCTTCTTTTGGTTGGTTGAAATCATGTATTTTTGTTGGATTTGCTCACATTGTTTGAAGCCCTAGTTATTGCTCTTGTTGTGCATTTATGGCTATGTGTGTGCTTATTGTGCCTAGCTTTGTTGTGCGTAGCAAGATCTTGTGCCAAGGGTTAGTGGCTTTGTGTTGGAAGGTTTAGGGTTAAGGCAATTTTGACAATTTTTGTCGAGTTGTTTGAATGCAATGCATAGAAGTTCCTTGCTTGAACCCATGGATGACATGATTTTTTGTCCATTGTTCTTAGATGGATAGACTTGTTAATTTGCATTACTTGGACAAGGCGACATTTTTGAATGGAAATGCCGATGAAGGGGAGGATTGATGTTTTTGACACAAGCCCAAGCTATGATGATGTTGTAGTGAAAGTGAGAAGCATGTTACATTGGATTAATCCAAGTGATGAGGTGAAACTTATTGGGAGGTATGATGTGGAGTGGGAGTAAAGTCTCGATTAAAGAGTATGCCCATCACCTCCGATTTGCATTAGAATGTGTACAAGGATAAAGTTGAGGGATCACAAGACAAGTCACTTGAATTATTTGCCACAAAGGTGAAGTTCCTCGCCTACAACTCGACTTGAACAGGAGTGTGTCATCCCCACTACATGATAGTAGTGTCGAGTTGTATGCACACAATTCTTGTAGCCAACCACCAAGTAGCCAACCCAATGAAGAGGAGATCAATGTTAGAGCCATAGTAGTTTGAGGTGATCCTATTGCTCATGTGGATGCTATTGCTTGTGTTGATGATCATGCTATTCCTCAAGATGATGCTTACGCGGAACAAGAGATTCATTACCATCCCATTGGTGACTTGGATGTCATTGTCTACCAACAAGACATGGACCGTAACCTCCCTTATAGGCATATGTGTGAATATGACTCGGACGACGAGGGTCCGAAGGAAGAATTGGACGAGGATGGATTCACGGCGCAAGAAAATCAAGTCTACAAGAAGGTCAGTGGCAAGAAAAGAGGACCCTCTTTGTTTCGTGGTCTTAGCTTTGCCGACAAGGCCGTTGTTGATGGGGGCATGAGATTGGGGTTGGTTGAACCATCACCTTGCACGAATATTGGTGATCCAAGGCCCTCGGATGAGGACGAGAATGCTCATTTGAATAAAGGCATCAAGTTTGGGTGCTTGCAAGAGTTCAAGATTTCGTTGAGTGACTATGCCATTAGGAACCATAAGCCATATGTTGTTGGTCATTCCGATCAAAATGTGCGCTACACCGTCAGATGTGACAAAGAAGGTTGCAAATGGAAGGTCCGTGGAAGAAAAATTCATGAAACCGGGCAATGAGAGTTGAAGAGTTGTGTGGCCACTCACACGTGCATACCGCCGGACAAAGCTAACGAAGCAAGGGCCACCATCAACTCACCTCCGAGTTTCTAGGATACAAATTGTTGAATGAGATATCCCACGATCCAACCGTGAAGGTCAAGCTACTCATGAGTTCGGTCTTTGAACGATTCGGTTACGAGGTCAAGTATGGGAAGGTATGGATGGCCAAGGCAAACACTATTAGGATGTTGCATGGTGATTATGTGTCCGCGTACAATATTCTACCAAGGATGTTGGGAGCCATTGCTCATCGGAACCCGGGCATGCGCCATAGAGTCGAGTCAATTGACGGAGTGTTTCACCGAGCTTTCTGGAGCTTTGGCCAATGCATTGAGGCATTTAAGCATTGTCGGTCCGTCTTGTCAATTGATGGCACGTTCTTGACCGGCAAATACAAGGGCACATTGATGGTGGCAATGACCCATTCGTCCATTGACAACGTGTTGCCGGTGGCATTTACCTTGGTGCCTTCCGAGCATGATGACAATTGGGAGTGGTTTGTGGACCATGAAGGACAAAGGTGATTGGCAAGAGAGAGGTGTGCATCATATCGGATAGGCATCATGGGATTCTAAGCAATAGATGTTGATATTCCTGGCTTTCCAAAGCTCCAACACCATTGGTGCATGAGACACTTCATGACAAACTTTTACTATGCATGCAAGAGCAAGAAGTTTTGCAAAGACCTTACCCATGTTTGTGTGGCATTCAACACCAACACATTTCAAAAAAATGATATGACAAACTCTTCTTGGCATTGGAAAAGAACAAAGGGGGGAGAGAATTCTAGGCATCTTCCAGAGAAGCATAAGTGGTCGCACACTTACGACGAAGGTGGTATGAGATACGGAGATATGACAAGTAACATGGTGGAATGCTTCAACAACGTTCTCAAGGGTGTCCGTTCATTGCCAGTGACTGCCATTGTGAAATATACGTTCTTCAAGCTCAACGAGTATTTCCTAAGGCATTCCCGAGTCACCGCCAACTGGATAGGTGAAAATAAAGACTATCCCTTCAAGGTTGAGGACTGGTTGAAGTATCAAGCACACAAGTCCTCACATCAACAAATCATTAGACTCAATGAAAAAGAAATTATCTACCAAGTCGACGAGCCGGGTGGCACAACAAGGGACGGGGTAGCGTACGGTGGTGTTTTGTACGAGTTGCACCTCAAGAACCGGCGGTGTCAGTGCGTGAGGCCTCACAAGTACCATTGGCCTTGCTCGCATTTGATGACCGCGGCTAGGGCGAGAAACTTGCGTGTTTCAGATGAAACCACCGTGCGGCTGCATGAGTTCACATACGAACAAACGAGGTTGACATGGGCGCCTCAGTTCCGTCCCTTTC